CATCATTTTGCCGAGAAGTCACATATGACGCAATGGTGATCAAAAAAGTTAAATTGGGAGGATATGGCCACACGGTTGAGATTGACAAATCAAAATGTAGGCGTCGAAAACACCATAGAGGTCACAGGGTTGAGGGACAGTGGGTATTCGGGGGCTATGAAAGGGAAACTGGCAATGTTTTCATAGTCCCGGTTGAAAAGCGTGACGCCACAACCCTACTACACGTCATAAAAGAGTGGATCAAGTCCGGAACAACCATAATCTCCAATTGTTGGAAGGTACCCTGTGAGAAAATTCAGGATTCTAACTACTCTGCGAGTATGATTTTAAGATCTCAAATGTAACTTCTCAAATCGACTTCCTTGCAACATCTTATTGACTTTACACAATTATTTTACTTCAAATTTATGCTTATCCGATATAACAGTATAAAAGTGTATACGAGATATGTATGTGATGTAACATAATATAAATATAGATATTGGTATTGTGATGATCACATTTAAGTACTGGCATAGATGTAAAATTGATATTCTACGTATAGGCCCGTTTCACATTGACGTATAGTTATCGCATGGTTCAACGAATTTTTAATAGTTAATCTTACTATATTTAGACGTTATTGCTGTAAAATCCCAAACTATACCCGCGCGCGATACCGCACCGCCACCGAATCCAACGGCGACAAAGAACCTACCCCTTCCCATTACTATTAAAATAGTGCGTTTTGACATGAATTTTGTACGTTCAACACGCCATACGTTCGCAGCCTCGTGTTTGCAAGTTATTGCGATTTTTTGGCTTTTTACTTTTCGCTACCTATTCTGTTTAATTTATATTTATTTATTTGTTACTGTTTTTTTTCTTATAAACCATGTCTTCTAATCAGGTAAATAATCAATTATATTATTATTTTATTAATCTACATTTGTCTATTATTGTATATTATTTTAATTCTGTAGGCATTCAAATAATTATAAATTAAAAACCCTAATTACAACAAAAAGAATATCATATAATAAAAATAAATAAAAACAAGACAATTTATAATATTAAAGATCATAACGTAAAAACAATAATATCAATAAAAAGTTACGAAGAGCCCTAAATAATAATCTTAATTATTCAATTTATAATATAAATATTATAAATTATAAATTTATATTATAGAATTTTCAATCTATAATAGGTCAATTCACTTTACTATCAAAACTAACAATGAACTATCTCTATTATATAAAAATAAGTCCGGTTTTCCTCCCTGACGCTATAACTCCAGAACGCACGAACCGATTTCCACGGTTTTGCATTCGTTGGAAAGGTCTTGGGCTCCGTGAGGTTTATAGCAAAGAAAATTCTGGAAAATTCAGGAAAAATTCAACAGAAAAGTGGGGAAATCGTTTTTCACATACAGCGCCATCTATTATACATAGCATGTACTTCAAACCAATAGCAACGGTGCGTGATAAAGTGTGTGATAGATAGTCATTATTCTCTGCTCAGTTAATTTCATTTAAGCTCAGTGTAAATTATGTGGATCGTGCATTTGAAGTTAAATTCAACACTCTGTCCATAGTCCAAAATGCCTAGAGAACGACGTGCGAACATCGGCCGCCGCACAAGACATGCAAGCCAGCAACAAGTCTATTCAAGGAACTTAAGAGAAGAAAGAAAAAATATAATAAGAGAAAATGACCGATTGAGACATCGCGTGAGCACACGAAGATCATTGGCATCATACAATCGCTTGGCATTCCAATATGATCCCACTGCGAACTACAGTGATGATGAAAATTTGGATATTGGACGAATGACGACTATATGCCGATATTGCAATGCGGTAAAGTTCAAAAGAGAAACGGTTGGATTGTGCTGCGCAAGTGGAAAAGTCAAACTGGATCTATTACTTACACCACCACAGCCACAACGAGCAATTCTTGCAGCAAAGAATAATGATGTCCACGCACTGAATTTCACCATTCAATCAAAAATTGCTGGCGATTTGGTGACATACAAATCCGTTGATTCAATAACAAATCCCGATGATGTAGTAAATTATCCAACGGAGTTTTTGAACTCTCTGGAGATACCAGGATTTCCACCACATAACTTGCAACTGAAAGTTGGTACAGTTATTTTGATACTGCGTAATTTGAATCCACCGCGACTTTGCAACGGTACTCGACTTTCGGTAAAGAGACTTATGCCGAATTTAATTGAGGCAACCATTATTAACGGAAAGTACGCAGGTGAAAATGTATGTATTCCTCGAATACCAATGATTCCGACTGATCTTCCGTTTGACTTCAAACGATTGCAATTCCCAGTTCGCCTTGCGTTCGCAATGACAATTAATAAGTCGCAAGGCCAATCGCTTAGTGTTTGCGGGATAAATTTGGAAAATCATTGTTTTTCACATGGACAGTTATACGTTGCGTGTTCACGAGTTGGGAAACCAAAGTGGTTTACCAAAGAGCACTACAATGAAACAATTAAATAACACTTCATTTTAGTAGGTAATTGAAATGAATTTATTACTGTTGTGAAATGAAATAAATATTTTCCTTTTCAAATATATAACAAAAAAAATTTTTTTTCTTTATCTTTTAATCACCAAACGAAATGTTACATAAAACGAATCTGGTGGCGAAACGGAGTTCGCCGGGTCTGCTAGTGCACTATGAAAATTTAATTTGTCGTACGTGTGTAAGACGGAAACAACACATGTTGGTACTACGTCTGCATAATAAGGGGTTGCCACACCAACATTTGTTTTATCTGTCTATCTCGCACATAATGTAGGAACACGATTTCCACGATTACGACTTTCTAGTTCAGTTTAGGCCAAGGGTACCTATTATATATTTTATAAAGAAGATTATTTCTGATGTATTGACTGGATATATTTTTAATATTTTTATTTTTGAATGAGTTATGATTTCAAAATAATCTAAATTAATTTAAATAAAAATATACTTAAGAATATACAGAACTTAAGAAAGTAACTTAGTAAAAATAAATAATGATGTGACGGTCCCCTAAATATATATTTATAATTCTCAAATAAATTCTAATTAGAATTACTTACTTAGAAATACTTAAGTATACCTATTTTTTAAAATACCTTTTATGATTTATAAACTACCTATATAGGTGATATATTATATTATTAATATTATGTAAGAAGTATAAAATTATGTGCACTGCTAAGGTATATTAATTATGTTAAAAGTAAATACTTAACAATTTTGTCGGTTAGTTATTTTTATTATTTAAACATAACAAATAAAAATTTACAGTGGATAGTTGGATATTTTGCTGATGAAAATAAATATTCAGTTATACCATATTCTTGGTTAGTGACATGTGGTAATTTCTGTATATCCAAATGGCCAAAATCTGGAAATATTAACACACTAATACAGACATCGTGTGAACCGGGAATCGATTGGCCAACATATCCGGTTAAAATTGTATCAGAATATTTTATTAAGTATATTTCATTATTTAGTATATTATTATGTTTCATTAATTTAAGTTTAGAAGGAATGGTTGTTTGTACCTGCCTTTGTTAATTCTCATTCTTTAATATAAGTTTAAATTTGTATATATAATAATTACTTTAAAAAAATAAATATATATATATGTATATAACTTTTTTTTTAACATATATTTAGACTGTTATGATGAAGCTGCATTCAAAGAACGGCAAATTTTTATATCTGCTTCATCATCAGAATCAGAAGAACATATAAAAAATAAAAGTAAAAATAAAAGAAAGAAGCATGTTCCCGTAGTTCATGAAGATTGCAGTGATAGTGAGTTCAGTTAAACAATACATTACATATATACATTTTATTTATTATTGATTATTATGATTATTTTTTTATGCTTTTTTATACTGCCTATATAAACAATAGTATAGATAATAATATAGGCCCTAATTAATAATTAATATTGAAAATAATTAATATTGAACAAAGCATAGGACATTTTAGTTATGGTAGTGCCAATTCAAAATTGGGAAGATCTAGACTATCAGAGAAGTTAATTTTTGTAAAAGTAAAATAATAAAATAATGATAATAGTAATATTTAACTATTTATTGAGTTAAAATCATCAAAAAAATGTCACATGAATTAATTTTTATATGTTTACACGATTTTTAAATTAAATTACCTATAATATTCTTTTAGCATGCAGCAGTGCTTCACAAACACCAATTAAAATATTTAAAAATAATTCCTCATCAAAAATCAGTATAAAACAGTGTAAAATGAATTTGAACACACTTTAAAAAGATATGCCAACTGCTAATCATTTAAAAAGCAATACAATATCATGTACGTATTTAACCATTGATCAATTAGATTTAAATGTTAATAAATTTATAAAAGTGAAATTACAAGAATATAATTCTTATCTGTTTAGCTGCTATTAATTTGATGTATAACGTGTCTGAAGATGATTTAAGTGCTGCACTTATAACTCAACCAGGTTAAATAAATTCTAATTTCTTTTTTTTGTGTATTACAATTATTTGGATATTATTCTTTTACAGTTAATCCAACACCTACTAAAGCTAATGTACATACAAATATGTCATCAACCATCACAAATATTAAAGAACTGTCAACTTCTACACATAATGAATTTAATTTATCCAAAAACCATAAAGATATCAATCAATCTATGCATGAAAACATCATTATGACATTGGCATTTGTAAAGAGAATAGAAGGTAGATTAGATGGAATAGAAGCTCAATTACAAAGTGGTGTAACAGTTATTAATACAAAAATAAATAATGACATATTGTCACAACTTCCAATGAAGACCGTCTCAGATGTAGAGGATATTGAAACTAAATTTACTACTGATGCAGATTTCAAAAGTCAAATGGTAATAATAATTGTCTGATAGCATAATATATAATATTAGTTGAACTAAATGTTTGAATAATAATATTTAATTTATATTTTTTAGAGGAATGTTATATTTAGAATTGGTGGAACAAATTCCAAAAACTATATACTGGCCCAATAGTATTGAAAGGTCGATTAAAAACATCACTATACAAACATTTTATGCTTTTGAGTTCTGCTGTTCGTCTCCTCATTTCTTCTGAAACTTGTAACATTCATAATAAGCTAAGTATAGCTAATGATCTATTGAAAACATTTGTAAGTGAATATTCATTTTATTATGGTGAAGAATATATTGGTTATAATGTGCATGGGTTAATTTATGTTAGTGATTTCGTTTTGACGCATGGTGCTTTAGATTTATTTAGCGTTTTTAAATTTGAAAATTATTTGCAATTTATTAAAAACTTCTAAAAACTTCTAAAAACTCTAAAAGCCCACTTGAAGATATTTATAATCGTATAATCGAACATGTAAATGCTCAAACTCATATTATTCCATCCAAATTTCCTATCCTTCAAAATGAATTGCCCTATGATAATACTAAAAATAATTCAATAAATGAAACATTATATGAAAAAATGATTTTAAAACAATTTATTGTGAGCTCAAAAAAAGATAAAGATTCATATTTTATACTTGAAAATGGTGATTTAGTGAAAGTCAATAAAATAATTCATTTTTTGAGTGATAATATTAAATTAGAGGTTACTAAATTAAAATATTCACCTTTTTTTGTGAAGCCAGTATCTTCAGATATAATAAAAATATTTTCTGTTGATGAAATTATACCTGAAACTCGACTTCTAATTAATTCAAATGCATTAAAATATAAATGTTTTACAGTGCCAATTGAAAAAATAAATATATATCAATTGCATTGCTACATTGTGATTGAAGATTTTAAATTTGTTTTATACTTTTATTAATATGATTAGAATAATATGCTTTTTCTATTTTATTTATGGATTAGTATTAAACGAGGTATCTAACTAAATTATTTGTTATTTATGATATGTTACTGATTTTTTTTGTTGAACTAGTATCTTAGTATAATAAATAGTATAGTAAAGTAATATAGAATAATAACAATATAGTAAATAGTATTGAATAGTATATTTAAATTAATCTTAGTATATTATATATTAAATATTCCTTTGCTTTGTGTAAATTTAATAAAAGTTAATATCAAATGAAAACATGCGTACATTATTTTATTAAACAGTCATTATAGCTTTCTTAAGTCTTAATTTTTAATCAGTCTACTCTTGATGATTTTTTATTTGTATAGGGTAGATGGTAATGCCATATAGTGTAGTATGATTTATGATGCCTTATTCCAAACTGTTTCTTCACCTATCTATGCGATGTACCATATCAGATATTTTTTAACCTCTTATATACTTCGCAATATGCACAC